AACAACAACAAAAAATCATACGACCAACACGAAAATAAATACTTCGTAACATATCAGAATAGTAAAACAGACGTAAATAGCATTTTTAAAAACCAAACCAAAACCATTTACTTTAACAACGCAGTATCAGAGGAAGCCTTGAGAATCCGGCCATTTTTCAAAAGAAAATTAATCCATTAATCAACTATTGAACGGGCGGCGGTGTTTTGTGTGGTGTGTTTCGTTTTTTTTTGTTTTTTTTTGGTTTAGATTTTAGTAAGAGTTTTATGGCACTTGCAACACAATAAGGTCATATAAGTGCCGAAGATTAGAGGTGTTACAAAAGAGTAACAAACATACACACACAAAAAAAGGAGGGGAGATAAAGACGACAGATGGGTGATAAGAAAGAAGAAGCAAACCACACCAGACACCCGCCAACCACTCACTGTTTTTTGTACTTGTGTAGCCCAGAACCAAATGACCCACGGGCCGGTCGGTACTAGTACCCAGGACCGGTGGTTGGCGACCACTTATCTACGCCCGATGAGTATAAGCGCCAGGTTGTCATTCTAAAGGTGCCCGCGCAGCTAGTTTCTTATAATTCTTAGATCTTTCCCAATATTTGAAAAGTGCTTCCCAAAATCCTATATAGCATATTATCGTGCCTGGTGAAAATAAATGGTGAAATGGTATAGGTTATTTAAGAGAGGCAGGACCTTGGAGTTTACCGTCCGTCCTGATGATGCAAAGACCGAGCCATGTGGGAAAATCGTGTTAAGTGTTATCAAGCCTAATTTTGTCCGAAATATTCACAATTCTAAAATATCTCATAATGGTTAATTTTGTCAAAAGCCTTAGACATATGAATTATACAAATATTTATGTGCTTCGATACATCTTTCCATTAGGATGGAAAGGAAGGGGTGTGGGGGTGTGAAAGAGAACGAAAGAGAAAGAAAGAGACGGAGAGAGAAAGAAAAAAAACCCCGAAAGAAATATGTGAATACATAAATAAAACTCAGTACTTAAGAGTAAGTACGGCGAACTTCCTAAATGAAAATAAAGGAAAAAAAAGTAGTCCAGTATTCAGCGAACTGGGACTAAGAAATAGTAGTTTGTCAAACAACGTCGTTGAGACAGCCTTTAGATTAGGTCGGAGGAAACTAGGACGTTTACCCAAGGACCCCCCCCCCACCCTTCCCCCCCTCTCCAAAAAAAAGAAGAAAAATACACGCATATGAAAACAACCCGCCCCCCCCTCTCCAAAAGCAATAAACAACAAAAACTAAACTAAACTAATACAAAACTAAACTAAACTAAAACAAAAAACATCAGCACGCTACACTGAGACATCGGCATTAATAAATTGTGCGTTGTAAAGTTGTCCGTATAGGTGAGAGATATTCCATATCGTCTTACCTTGTCATAAAGTTTAAACTATTTTACGAATGCATTGTTGCAGTGTACCAGCCATTTCAACC